TGCTGGGCTCTCTGTGTATTAAGACGTAGACATTATTCTCAAGGCTCTTAGTGTTAGTTGATGGATGTCATAAACCATAAACTTTATGCCAAGTATATTGCTAAAGGTAATGACTAACTGGTGGCTGAAGGAAAGGAAGTAATTGGGACAACTGGGATTTCTGGGGTAGACCACAGTTGGCAAACTGTGACCTTCTGCCAGTTTTTGCATAATTCACAAAGAATGATTCTTGGCATCTTTAAATGACTGTGAAAAAAAGAGTAATGTTTTGTGGCATGGAAATTAAAGTCAAACTTAAATATTCTTAAATAGTTTTAGTGGAATATTGCTGTGTTATAATTTTACTTATTGTCTGTGGCTGCTTTTGTGCTAAATAGCATAGCTCGGTAATTGTAACAGAGACTGATCTGCAAAGCCATTCGCTCTTACCGAAAATGCTGACTCCTTGGACAGATGGTGATTTTTATCTACTGAGACAAGCAAGTGAGGAGTAACAGATGTAGAAAGCTTATCTGTGAGTGCTGATCATCTGAGTCAGAGGTGCTTTTGAAATAGGCAGGTGTAGAAGGCAAAAGCCAATGTAGGTCTGGGATTCTGAAGAGGGTTTAAGGCTGGAATTTGGGAAGAAAGGATGAAGTCAAGAATCCCACATGGAGGAGTGTAACTTGGGCACCAGAATTTTTTTAAAGCTCCCTGGCCAGTTCCAATTTACAGTCAGCTTCGAAAGAACCACTGATATGGAGTGAGAAGATTGAAGATAGAACTCTGAGGAACATCAGCATTTAAGGGACAGTTCTAGATAATCTTACTAAGTGGAGGAAATACTGGTAGCGAGATGATGGAAATTGGAAGTACTCAAACCCCCAGCTGGTCTCTTTGGAGGGTCTTTTTTTTAGGTGACTGCTGACTCTTACCAATCAAGAGCACTTCTTATAGAAGTCTAGTGACAGCATAGGTCAGAGAGCAGTGATTTGAGGTGAAAGTGAAACCTTTAAGTGTGAACTATTGAGATTGTTAGGGAAGGAAAGTGAGGGAACATAATAGCTATGATGAGGAGCAGCTGGGGATATAGTTTGTTCAAGAGAGTTTTGCTAAGAGGACACAGCTTGAGCCTATTTCTATAGTCAGAGAGTTAGCACTCAGAAAGGAAACCTGGAGTGACAGTATGAGATGCCACCATTTAGTTTTCAGAGCTAGATTTTTTTTTTTATTTCTCGGCATAATCTTAACATTACAGACAGTTTGGAATTAAATGCTTGATTTATATAACTATATAATTATATATTTGTGTAATGTAATTAAACAAATACATAAAATATAATAAATGGTATAATATGTAAATGTTACATTTAAATATATACACATATATAAAGATAGATAGATAGATAGATAGATAGATAGATAGATAGATAGATAGATAGAGGTTTTTTGGGTGTTTTTTTTTTTGCTGGTCTTAGGTCTTGAACTCTGCATGGATGCTGTCCCTCTGCTGCTTTTTTGCTACTACTTGAGCTACAACGCCATTTCTAGATTTTTTATTTTAATAATTTATTGGAGATAAAAGTCTCATGGAGGGGCTGGGAAGGTGGCTCAGTGGGAGAGCGCTTGCCTTGCATGCTCGAGGCCCTGGGTTCGATTCCTCAGCACCACATAAGCAGAAAGAAAAAAGCCGGAAGTGGCGCTGTGGCTCAAGTGGTAGAGCGCTAGCCTTGAGCTGAAGAGCTGAGGGACAGCGCCGAGGCCCAGAGTTCAGGCCCCACAACCGAGGGAAAAAAAAAAGTCTCATGGACTTTTCTGCCCAGGCTGGCTTTGAACACAGTCCTCAGATCTCAGCCTCCTGAGATTACAGGCATTACAGGCATTAGGATTACAGGCATGAGCCACCAGCACCTAGCTAAAGTAATATTTTAATGTGTTTTTTAAATAAGTACTAGAATTGTTAACATTTGGCAGTCTTTTCTCCCTGTTTTTTTTTAATCTACATACATAGAATTAATTAATTAGTCAGTTGGGTTCCCTAGGAAGCAGACACTGAGGTGGAATTAGAGGGGAAAGGATTTATGTCTGTGATGAACAGAAAGGTATGAGGAGCTATCTGACAGAAGTGTACACCTGGCAGTCTGTGTCACCAGATTGCCTGATAGAGGCAGCCATGAGACCAAAATGAATGGGCCCTTATACCACCAGATTATCCAGTCATAAGCTGGGGCAGTGCTGAAGAAAGAGTGCGCTGTGGTTAAAAACTGAGACAGGTTTCCAAGAAGCAAACATCAGGAAACTATCAGGTCACAGGACTTCAATGTATCTTTATATCTGTCACGACACAAAATTTTGTGTCCTGCCTTTTTTGCTTAACACATATGGGTTAATTTGCAGTCTTCACACTTTTAAAATGTATACATAGTATTCCAACTAGTGCATAATTAATATATTCATTCCCTAAGTTTCCAAATTTTCTATACTATTAAAAATGATAACAGCAGCCAGGCGCCGGTGGCTCATGCCTGTAATCCTAGCTACTAAGGAGGCTGAGATCTGAGGATCATGGTTCAAAGCCAGGAAAGTCCATGAGATTCTTATCTCCAATAAACCACTCAGAAAACAGGAAGTAAAACTGTGGCTCAAGAGGTAGAGCACTAACCTTGAGCTGAAGAGCTCAGGGACAGCACCCAGGCCCAGAGTTCAAGCCTGACCATCCCCCCCCCAAAAAAGTGATAACAGCTTTATATAAAGCTTTTTTTTGGGGGGGTCGTGGGGCCTGAACTCTGGGCCTGGGCGCTGTCCCTCAGCTCTTCAGCTCAAGGCTAGCGCTCTACCACTTGAGCCACAGCCCCACTTCTGGCTTTTTTCTTTTTGCTTATGTGGTGCTGGGGAATCGAACCCAGGGTCTCATGCATGCAAGGCAAGCGCTCTACCACTGAGCCACCTCCCCAGCCCCTATATAAAGCTTTTTTTTTTTTTTTGTCGGTCATGGGGCTTGAACTCTGGGCCTGGGCGCTGTCCCTCAGCTCTTCAGCTCAAAGCGAGCGCTCTACCAGTTGAGCTACAGCACCACTTCCAGTTTTCTGGTGGTTTATTGGAGATAGGAGTCTCACGGTCTCTCCTGCCCCTCCTGCCCGGGCTGGCTTTGAACCTCGATCCTCAGATCTCAGCCTCCTGAGTAGCTAGGATTACAGGCGTGAGCCACCAGCGCCCGGCTATATAAAGCTTTTAACAAGATTATTTAGGATTATTTTATTCAAATAGATTCTCAAAAGCAAAATAGATTGAAGAGAATGAACGTTCTTAAGATCTTCATGTTAAAAGGGGTTAAGGGACTGTTATTTATAGTGTCACCTCAAAGAATGAGAACCAGTGACATAATGGTCCTCAGTAACCTTGGATCTTATTTTCTCAGTCTAGCTAATTTGTAGCTGAAAACAATGTCTCCTTTTCTGAAGTGTGATCTCAGAGGGGTCTTTTTTTTTTTTTTGGCCAGTCCTGGGGCTTGAACTCGGGGCCTGGACACTGTTCCTGGAGATTCTTTTGCTCAGGCTAGCATTCTACCACTTGAGCCACATCGCCACTTCTGGCTTTTTCTGTTTATGTGGTACTGAGGAATCAAACCCGGGGTTTCATGCATGCTAGGCAAGCACTCTACCACTAAGCCACATTCCCAGCTCTTCATAGGGTCTTTAGCAAAGTAAATTGAGGATATGTTAATTCAGTCCTCTGTCCAAAGGATGGGAAGATGATGGTAACAATGAGCACTCCAGGATCAGATTGATTAGGTCTAAATGTTTTCTTTGCTGTTTGGCATTTTGTGACCTCAAGAATCAGTTGGAACATTAGCCTATTTGTCTGCATACTGAGGATCAGTTTCTCTCTTATAGGGCTGTTTTGAGAATGAAATGAGGTAAAACATGTAAAAACTTGAAGTATAAGGTATGGCCCATTGCAAAAGCTTAAGGATTTAAAAAAAATTTTTTTTGGTCAGTTGTGGGGCTTGAACCTGGGGACTCTCCCTGAGCTCTTTTGCTCAAAGCTAGTGCTGTACCATTTTGAGCCACAGCTCCACTTGTAGTTTTCTGGTGGTTAATTGGAGATAAGAGTTTCGGACTTTTCCTACCTGTGCTGGCTTTGAACCCATATCCTTAGATCTCAGCCTCCTGAGTAGCTAGCATTACAGGTGTGAGCCACCAGCACTCAGCTTTAAATGCTATTTTATGTGCTTTTTAAATTGTGTGTGTGTGTGTGTGTGTGTTTGCTTGTTTATACATTTGAGACAGTATCTTGCTAGGCTGACCTTGAACTCACTGTATTACCCAGGCTAGCCACAAACTTTTGATCCTCCTGCCTCAGCCTCTTGAGGGCTGGGTTTACAGACAAGTACTACCATGCCTGGCTAGACATTATTAGATATTTGATTATTTTAATGTCTAATGAATTAGGAGATAACATTTAATTTAAACTCTAAGGAGAAAAAATGAGGCTTGTAGAAATTTAGTAGATTTGGCTTAGATCTCTTAACTAATAAATTGCAGACCTTGAACCTGGAAGTGGATTTTTGCCTGATGCAGGATTTTTCAGTCTTGAACAGTATTGACATTTAGAGGTTGGATTATATTTTGTTATAGGACTGTCCTGTGACTATTAAGATGTTTAGCTTCTACCCACTAGATGTCAGTAGCACAGCCCTCTTAATTTCAGTTGTATCAGTCAAACTGCCACAGGTTCCCTGGGGGGCAGGTATCTAATGATCCTGTAGTGACATAGTCCAGGTTTGGGGACAAGGAAGTAGTACTCTATTCTGTCCTTAATGAGTAGGTCTAATCTCTAGTTGAATCCATTTCTCATGAGCTATAATCCAAACTGCTTAAGATGGAATTTTGTTCTATACATCCTGGAATTTTAAGCACACCTTTGTGAGATACCTCATAAGGATATATTCCTCTTCCAAACAGCCTTTAGTGTTAAATAAAAATATTTCATATATCTAACTTTTTTCTCTTTGGTTGCAGGTAGCACAACTAAAAAAAAAGAAAAGAAAAGGTTTTCATGGAATTCAGATGAATGGTGATGGATGATGCAGTTCAAATAACTAAGGTAAAAGAAATAAAACCAGACCTATACTAATTACAAAATAAACCTGAAGCCAGGTTTTTTTCTATTCTCCTCTGTTTATAAATTATAGTAGCTTATTTTTTATAATTAAAAAATTAGCATCTTTTAAAATTATAGTTCTCAACATGGCCATGAATCAGAATCACTTAAAGAACTTTACAAATAAGGGCCAGAGTGTGGTTCAAGTGGTAGAATGCTTTTCTAGCAAGTGCTGGGGCCTGAGTTTAAACCCCCAAATTGGCAAGGTTGGAGTGGGGAGCCAGAAGAAATGTCCTACCATCTTGCTATTACTGAATGAATGCTTCTGTAGCAGAGAGCACAGGATAGATCACAGTTTTGAGTGGGACTATAAGCCAATATTAACTTAGTGAACTTTTTTGTTGTTGTTGGTTGTGGATCTTGAACTCGGCTTGGGTGCTGTCCTTCAGCTCTTACTACCTAACCACTACCTACCTACTATCTAACTACTCTACTTGAGCCACAGTGCCACTTCTGGTTTTCTGGTGGTTTATTGGAGATTAGAGTCTCACGGACTTTCCTGCCTGGGACTTTCCTGCCTGGGCGGGCTTTGAACTGTGATCCTCAGATCTCCGCCTTCTTAGTAGCTAGGATTGCAGGTGTGAGCCACCAGCACCTGGCTAATTTAGAGAACTATTTTACAATACTCACTTAAGTTAGACATTCGGTATCCATAACCCAGGACTTATATTCCTAGATACTCTTGAGGAATGAAAGGAAGTCCACAGAAAGACGTACAGAAATGTATACTGAAACTTTATTTTGAATAGCTGGGAAAAGTTGAGAGTGAAATGTTCAAAGGCAGATTAGTAGTTAAGTAAATTGTGATATATCCATTCAGTGGAATTCCACTTAGCAATAGAAAGAGCAGTATACATACAGGTGAGTCTTATAGATACATTCTTCACTGAGTGAAGGAAGACAAACACACAAAGGCTGATGTATTTCAGTTACCAGGTAAAACTAAGTTGGAATGGTAGAAGTCAGGTTGGAGGCTCTCTAGCTGGCTGCAGGCTGTGCTGAAAGGAACAGGAAAGCTTCTGCAAAGACCTGCTGTGTTAATGTTTGCGTATGTGTGCAGCTTTTCTTTTTCCCCATATGAGTTATACTCTTAAGCCACTGTAAGTATATAATTCATTAACTTGAAGCAAATTCACATTGTAGAGTCATTACTACCACCCATCTCCGGAACTGCTTCCTCCTTTCCCAACCCCTGGCTGTTGCATTCCACTTTCTGTCTGTGAATTTGACTACTCTGGGGCCTTCATACAAAAGAAGCAGAATATTTGTCCGTTTGTGTCTGGCTTATTTCATTTAGCATAGTATTTTCAAAAGTCATCTGTGCTGTAGCATATGTCAATACTTAGTTCCTTTTTAAGACTAAACATTCCTCTGTATGTGTATACCTCATGTTGTTTATCTGTCCATCACTGATGGACATTTGGGCTGCTTCCACCTTTAGGCAGTTGTGACTAATGCCACTCTGAACATGGGTGTATAAACATCTGTTCAAGTCCCTGCTTTCTGTCCTTTTAGATATATATTTAGAAATTGAATTGCTGGATCATATGGTAATTCTATGAGCAGCCACCATGCTTGCTGTTCTTCAAAGTGGCAACACCATTTACATTCCTCCCACCAGTACTGCTTCCCAATGGTCTTCCTAGTTGGAGGTTATCTGCGTGCACCGCTGTTTCTTTAGTGAACTTTTTTTTCCTTGAAAAAATCAGCAATTTTGCCTCTTCCTTGTAAACGTGGTGATTTTACCTTCTGCCCATTATGAAAAATGAGGATTTACTTCTATCCCATTTGATTTTTTTCATTATTTTTGTTTTACTGTTTTGTTAGTACATTTTTACCATATACATTGTTCACTTAATCTGAATCACAAATAAGCCTTTCATAGTCTGTCCATTAGTTGTTCTTCAAAACTGAAAATTAGCTGAGCACTGGTGGCTCACACTTATAAATAATCCTAGCTACTCAAAGCCGGCCTCGGCATGAAAGTCTATGAGACTCTTTATCTCTAATCAGGTGCCTAAAAACTGGAAGCAGAGCTGTGGCTCAAAGTGGTAGAGCACTAGCCTTGAACAAAAAAGCTCAGACCAGTGCCTAGTCCCTGAGTTTAAGCCCCACAACCAACAACAACAACAAAAAAAGAAAGCCGGGTGCCAGTGACTCACGCCTGTAATCCTAGCTACTCAGGAGGCTGAGATCTGAGGATCATAGTTCAAAGCCAGCCCAGGCAGGAACTCCAAGTGAGACTCTTATCTCCAATAAACCACTAGAAAACCAGAAGTGGCACTGTGGCTCAAGCTGTAGAGTGCTCACCTTGAGATGAAGAGCGCGCAGGGACAGCGCCCAGGCCCAGAGTTCAGGCCCCACAACCAAAAAAAGAAAGAAGGCTAGTAAAATTTATAACTAGGTCACTATTGTTCTTTGTCAGACCAAGCAGTGTTTTCTAGCTTATACTTCTTTCTCTATAGTAGATTAATGTCATGGACCCTTGGCTCTCTAAAGTAGGAAATGAAAAAAAAATGAATTCTTGGGGTAATTGTCAGTTGCTTCCAATCATACTTTATATTTCTATTATTGACCATAACTTTCTCGTAGAATTTTCCTTCCTGGAGTTTCTAATTTTCCTTCTTTCCTGTCCATTTGCCTGTTATAATCTCACTTTCTTACAAGTGCTCAGCCATACATACCACTGTGTTAGTGTGTGTATCTGTATGCTGCTTTTCATTTTCCCCATATGATTTATCTTCTTGATTTGTCCTATCAAGACTAATCCAAGCCATACATTGTATCCCATGTACTCTAGTCCAAAGCCAATCTGGACTGACTGGTTTGGCCTGGCTGTATTTGATACAATTCATAATAGGTGCCAGAAGGGAAAGGGATTCTCATGTTAGTCTGAATATTCTTGTGTATCACTTATTTCATGAGTAGGATAAGTGTATCCTTGTAAGAAGGCTCCCGGGAGTGAGTTTTGAGTGGTGTTGCATTACAACTTAGTAGAAGACCTAGACCAAATATTGTTATGGAAAAGACAGAATAGAGTCTAGGGTACCAGAGTCTTCATACACAAGACCCAAGACTAATTGAAGTTCCCTTTCTCCTAACTTGTTCTTCCTATCTTCCTTCCTGTCTTCCTTCCTAAATGATAATGAGTTTGAGCTCAGGGACTCTCAGTGCTAGACAGAAGCTCTACCACTTGAGCCACACACACCCAGCCCTTTTTGCTATTTTTCAGATAGGGTCTCATATTTCTGCCATCCTTGAACCATGATCCTCCTACTTGTGCCTCTTGCATAGCTGGGATTATAGTTGTATACCACTATGTCTGACTTGTTGATTGAGATAGGAATCTCATTTGCTTTTATGCCTGGGCTGACCTTGAATTGTGATCCTCCTCATCTCTGTCTCCCAAGTATCTGGGATTGCAAATCTGAGCCACCCCTGTAGGACTTTTTTTTTTTTTTTTGGTCCGGTTGTGGGGCCTGAACTCTGGGCCTGGGCGCTATCCCTCAGCTCTTCAGCTCAAGGCTAGCGCTCTACCACTTGAGCCACAGTGCCACTTCTGGGTTTTTTCTTTTTGCTTATGTGGTGCTGAGGAATTGAACCCAGGGCCTCAGGCATGCAAGGCAAGCGCTCTAACACTGAGCCACCTTCCCAGCCCGGATAGTTTGGATAACACTGAGTATACGATAATACAGTCATGAAATGGATTGGTGGCTGTACAAGGGGAAAGAGGAAACCTAGGAAAGGGGCATTTCAAAGTAGTAGTATACAATTTGGCACTGAGAGACTGAAGACTAGTTGAAGTCTAAAGAATAAATTGAGTTTGAAGGAAAAGTAATCAGTTTCATTAGTTGGAAAATAAGGATGCACATTCAGAAATGAAATAATAGAGGTGATCATTGAAACCCTAAACATGAAACATGACTAAGCCTTTCTGAGGAAAAAAGAGAGAGCAGAGCAGAGGAAGCCAACATTGTAGATGCTCCTTTGTCTGCCTCTGAAATAAACAGAGTTGAACACTGTTATGGCACCTGGAACACACATATACTTTATTTCTGTACTGCCTTTGCATGCAGCCATGGACTCAGTATAGACAGAAACTGATCTAGATTGGCTTTTTAAGCCTAACACTGAGCTCAGTGTCTGGCTTCTTATTGAAAGTTTGTGGATGTTTGAATTTGAGAAGGAACACATGAACTTTACAATAAAGACATTTGCATTTTTCTTCTTGCACACCTAATTAACCCAATTCCTGGCTCTTAATAGAATTCTAATGAAATTTTGATTTACAAATAGTAGAGAAAGAAAAGCTTTGGACCTGAAATGTATTAGTTGTTGTGTCAAAAGAACCAAAAAACTGAGAAACTTTTGAGAGAGGAGGCAACTACAACATGTTATATACAGACCAAGGAAAATGAAAACGAAAAAAATTTGATCAGGATGTTTTTTGTAGATTTGAGAGTAAAGGAATTAAGAACATAATTAAGGGGCTGGGAAGGTGGCTCAGTGGTAGAGTGCTTGCCTTACATGCATGAGGCCCTGAGTTTGATTCCTCAGCACCACATACATAGAAAAAGCCAGAAGTGGCCCTGTGGCTCAGGTGGTAGAGCACTAGCTTTGAGCTGAAGAGCTGATGAGCTAAGGGATAGCATCCAGGCCTAGAGTTCAGGCCCCAGGACTGGCAAAATAATAATAATAATAATAATAATAACATAATAAGGACCAATACCATGTATCAAAAAATTAACAGAGAACATTAAGAGAGGGGAAGTAGCCAGCAACATAAGGAGAGAGACTACAGGGCTTAACATGGAGGTGATTTTTATTTGTGTTTTTAAAGTCTGTCTGGAACATCTGGGCCTATTTGTAAACAGAAGGGAATAAGGGCTAGGGAAGCAAAGCTCAAAGGTATGAAAATATATAATTTGGGGTGAGACATCTTG